CCTGTGCGCGGGTAAGAACGGGCCGCGCGTGGGGGCGCCGGGGACGGCGCGCGGAGCTGGCGCGCGGTGTTTACCAACAAAGGGCGGGGCGCGGCCTCTCGCGCACCTGCACCAGCTCGCACCTCCCGGGCGGGGACTCGGGGCGCGCCGGGCGCCCCGCTAGCTGATGTTGGGGGGACCGTGTTATCTGTGCGGCGGCTCGCGGAGGCGACCCCACGGTGGGGGCCGGGACCCGGAGTCCCAGAGTCGGGGTTCGGGCTACGCGGGCGCAGGGAACCCCGGGAGAGGAAAACCAGAGTGTGGGAAGGGCGCCAAGCGGGGCGGGCAGATCCGATCCGGGGGTGGCGGGGTTGCGGGTGCAGCAGCGGCTGTGGGAAGGGCTACGCGACCCTCGGAGCCACCAGGCGTAGCGAAGGGGTTGCTGTGCACAGCTCGGAGTCCTCTGCACCCCATCCCACCGGAGTCTCGGGTTCCGCGCAAGGCGGGCCTCTGGCACCGGCTCCCACCTGCGCGAGGTGCAGCCACCCCGCGGGACCGCTTTGTTTTGGGCGCCTGGGAGCGGAGGGGAGGTGGGGCGCGAAGGAAAACCAACAGGTCCCCCTTCCTTCTGGCCTCGAGGAAGCACGTGGCGGGGGTGGATGGCCCGCGCGGCTAGTTTGACTTGCGCGCGCGTGGTTGAGAGTGTGCGGGTTCTGTTGGGGAAGCGATTTGTCCCCTACGGCCTGAGCACCCGGTTCCCTCCTTTAGCGCTGCAGGGGCCCGCCCGAGCGGGGTGTGCGCGCAGAGACCAGCCCCGCGCTCGGGTTGGCTCAGGGTCGCCCTGGAAAGCAGGAGGAGCCGTGCCCTGAAGCTCCAGGGGGAAACTCGGGCCGTCCGGCGGTTGATGGGCCGCTGCCGGGCGCCGGCCCCGCGCGCCTTTGTTCCCAGCCCCCATTACGCATGCAGCGCGGGCCCCTCGCCGCCAAGGTGGCCGCAGCGCGGAGTCTGGGAAACCCGCGGAGGGCGGGGCCGGGCATGCAGGGGCGGGGCTGGGAACCCCGCGCGGCTGCGGGGGTGGGGACACGGGATCCCCATCCCACCCTCCCTCCCTCTGTCAGTCTCTTTTGGCGATGTTGCTTGACGTAGCTGTCTACATCAAAGCAAGCGAGTTCTCTTTGCGGGGCTTGGTGCTTCGTAGCCTGAGTGTAGACCAGAGGATAGAGACCTCATTGGTACCCGGGCACTCTTTAAAAAAATATATATTTTATTGATTTTTTTACAGAGAGGAAGGGAGAGGGATAGAGAGTTAGAAACCGATGAGAGAGAAACTTCGATCAGCTGCCTCCTGCATACCTCCTACTGGGGATGTATCCGCAACCAAGGTACATGCCCTTGACCGGAATCGAACCTGGGACCTTTCAGTCCGCAGGCCAACGCTCTATCCACGGAGCCAAACCAGTGAGGGCCCGGGCACTCTTGCAGGGAGTCTCATGGCTCTTTTGGAGCAGTTTCCTGTGTGGTAGAGGCAAAGTGGTGTTGTTGAATGTGTCTCCCTCTCTGTCCCTGATCCCTTTTAAGTGCTGCTCTGAGATACTTTTTCCCGAGAAAAGGCAGGTTTTGGCCTGAAGAGGGGAGGGTGGCAGCCAGCTGACTTAATAGGCACGCACAGCTCACCTGTCTAGCTCTAGAATCTTCCTGGACATCCCTGGGATCTGTCTCCTAAATCGTCTCAGGGTGGTCTCACCGGTCCTCATCCTCCTCACAGGTTAGGCAGGGCAGGGTGGGTCCTATCCTCCCTCACCCAACACTGTATTTCCCTCCTCTTCCCTCTGAGTCTCCCACCTGGCGTGGGCAGCGCCCTGCAAGGTGGGGCAGCTGGAGTTAGACGGAAAAACAACCACCTGTGTTCCTGCCCTGGGAGGAAGGTGGGGGTCACTGGGTTTTTCTTGCGGTCACACCTACCCGTCCTGTCCTCCCTCTGGTGGCCACTGTTCTGACCTTTGAGGGCCATGGGGAGAGCAGCCCCCTGCCCGGGTGAATGCCACAGGAGCTCCCGGCGTCTGTCTCTGTCCGTCCTGTACCTGGGGCCAGACCAGGGCCCGTGGGACCAGGGGAAGAGTGTTGAGTGGAATGTCAGGAGCCGCTGGCTGGGAAGGGAATCTGACTCGGCTACTCTCTGACCCAAACATGTCCATTTCCTGGGGAGAGAAGAGTGTGTGTGTGTGTGTGTGTGTGTGTGAAGTGATGCTCGGGCCCAGGGTATTGGTAGCTGTCAAGAGCACAGACCACAGAGCCTCAGGCCATTAGCGCCCTCCACAGGGAAGGGTGTCCTTTGGGAGGAGGGGCACCCTTCTCAGCTATTAGAGTTGCCCATCTGCCCCAGGCCCTACCTCTGGGTGCAAACAAGACCTGGAACTCCCTGGCCTCTGGTGTAATACCTTCGGGGTCTTTCTGGGCATGGAGATCCCCAGTTAGCACTGGACTTCCCTGGCATCTCACCTACGGAATTCCTTTTCAGGGACACCCATGCAGAGGCCCCGTGCTACCCCGTGGGCCTTTGTATCATAGGCTCCTCTGGGAATCGGATGGAGGAGGTGTAGAGCCTTTCCCCAGGAAAATACAGATGTGTATGTAGGCGCGTACACATGCACCCAAACATACATGCAACTCGCTGTTTTGCACCGATGCCGGGAAACTTGGGCTCCCTGGGTTGAACTCTGTGAAGTCCTGGCTGCCCTGCACATACCCACTGTACCAGTCCTGAGGGGCGGCGTGCTGTCCTGGGGGGATACTGGGCTCGTCCTCACCTTGCTGCTTCGACTTACCCTGTTCTGGCCACTGGATCTTTGCTTTTTGTTCAGACTCTGCCCAAGGTTCAGATTCCAGTCCCGGCCTTCTTCCTCCCTCCCTTCCTCCTCCTCCCCCTTCTCCTCCCCCTCGAAGCCCTCCCCTGAGTGCCAATACATTTAGCTCCCTGCCTGGGAGCTCAGGGTAGTGCAAGTGGGAACCACGGGACCTCAGATGGGAGTTAGGATCCACTTGCAGTTTCTGGCTTGTTACCATAGCCTGGGACCTGGCGGTCTGGGGATACCTACGCGAATGGCACTGGATAGACAGCCCTCAGGCAGGGTCCTGGCTGGGTGGGCCTCATTCTAGAACAGGGCTTCTCAGCCTTGACACTGTTGACATTGGTGTGTATGGGGAGGGGGTGCTCTCTTGTGCATTGTAGGATGTTTAGCAGCACCCTGGCCTCTACCAGTAACTGCTAGTAACACTTCTAATTGTGGCAACTGAAACCATCTCCAGGCATGGCCAAAAGCCTGGGCAGAGGGGGTGCAAAACCACCTCAGGCTGAGAACCGCTCATCTAGAATGTCCTCGTGCTTTTAAAGAGACAGTTTTGGGAGATGGGGTTCATGGCTGATGCCTCCCCCAGCTCTACCCCATCCGATTCAGGCTAGGAGCTTCGTGCCTCCTCGCTAAACCTGCTCAGCGGGGGAGAGTTTGGTTGGAGATGTGGTTCTGGAGGACCGCTGGCCACCGAAGAGAATCCTGGCGTCCTTGAGTTTTCCCACAAGTGGTTCAGGTTTCAGGGAGGCGGTGGTTGTGGGTGGCCGGGCAGCCTGCCCGCCTGCACCCGCCCACCCGCCTCTGACGGTCGCCTTGAGGTTTGCACTCGTGCCTCTCCCTCCCACACGCACAGAATGTCAGGAAGGGCCTGTCGCTGGGGCCTGGGAGCCGCTGGAGCGGAGGCTGTGCGCGTGGGCCCAGAGGAGCGCCGGGGGTTGTAGCCTGCCGCGGGCATGCCCTTTCCCCCGAGCGGGCCAGCTGCGTGGCGCCCCGATCAGCCGCAGCGGCTGTGGGCCTGGAGCTCTGAGCCTGGGGACGCCAGGGCCAGGGGTCAGCCTCTCCCTAAAGGTATGGGTACAGGTCTCTACCCTGGAGGGCAGGGCCAGGCTTCCTCCTCTGGACCCGGGAGGTGTGGATAGAGCTGCCCTGACAGGTGCCAGCACTGGAGGCCCTGACCCCAGGGGTTGGGGGCGCCTGTTTGTTGGGCTTGGCAGCTGGCAGCCCCTGTGTGCTTTCCACTCCTCCCCGCCCTGCTCCTGGCTCTGCTCGGAAGGGCTTTCTGGGGGCTCTGCTGGGATCTCAGCGAGACACGGCTCGCTGCACTGGGAGCTGCTCAGGGACTGGGACTGGGCTCCGCGGGTGGAGGAAGCAGCGTCAGTTGCCAGGTGCTCCGCATCCCTGGGGTGGGAAGGGGTGGGCTTCCTAGTTCCATCTCTTTTGCGGTGTTTCCAAAGGAACCTGGTTGCCTTCTCAGAATTTTTTATCTTCTATTTCTTCCCTCTCACTCTCATCACCAATTCTTTGTTCCAGAATAGACACCCCTCTGCCGCCCCCCCCGCCCCCTGTGTAGGGCTTCCTTTTTGGTTTGTCTTTGTCTACCAGACTCACGGAGCATCCCAGCCTGCATGGTGCTTGCTCCTTGAGGTCCTGGTGGTGCCACTTCCGGGGTGTGGGGTGGGGGTGGGGGTGGGAGAGAGGAATGCTCCTGCCTTCTGAGTCTTTGCTTTTTAAGTTTCTCAGTGATGTCTTCGTTTGAGACAATGGTGGGTGCTTGAAATCAACTGATGATTCAGGCCGGTACTGTTGGGGGTCATCCAGGCCTCTCCCTGAACCAAGATTAATATCATGCTTCTCACCTTGAGCCACTTGCTTTGCCCCGGTTATTGCAGCCTTGCTCTGCACCTATAAGTGCCTTTTCCAGACTCTCTCAGGGGCTGGCAGCCCGACCCCACCCGGGTGTTTTCATTCATGCGCACGTGATCGCCGGGAGCTGGTGTTGGGAGAAGCCTGCCCCCCTGGGCAGTTGTGTGTCCCTCCTCCCAAGGGCCCTTCTCTAGGGGCCTGGCTTGCCGCACGGTGGGTCTTCTCTCAGGCCAGTTTCTGGGCCGGAGATGAGATGTTTTGTGAGGTGAGCTCCTGCTCTGGTTTGCATACGTTCCTCTGCCCACTATTTCGGTTCTACTCTGACAACCAAGGAGGCTAAAATTAGTTCTGGGGAAGGAAAGGGAAGGCTGGTTGGAAACCCAAGCCCTTGGCTGGGGGATGCAGGAGGCTGCTTCCCGGGTTTTGTGGCCGAGCATTGCAGGAGATGTGATCAGACCAGCTGTTGTCTGTCCGTCTAAGGAGAGGGAGGGGCCCCTGTTTGCCTCCTAGACCTGAACCAGTGAAAGCAGGAGGCTGACTGGGGAGCTGACTTCCAGTGTTGATGCTGGGGTGATTTTTCCTTCTGGCTTGTATGGGGGTGCGCATTGTTTTCAGGTATGAGGGCAGCGCCTTTACCTGTCCAAGTGTCATCGACAGCCCTCTTCCTCCGCCCCCACCCACTGATTCAGAGCATGCAGGAGTTCCCAGAGCCCCGGACTGGTAGCCCGGGGCGGAGAAACCCTTACTTTATGTGCTTTTTTGGGAATTTTCTTCTCACCTACATTTTGACATTCTCATCACAAACCAGGCAGACTGGGAACTGCTGGCTTCTTCGGGGTGTGAGTTAGAGGGGAGGAGGGGAGCCCTGTGGCCCAGGTCTCATAAGGAGGCCCAGCTTCTCTGTGCCCCGGAGATGTCGGGCATCAGGCTTCATCTGCTCCCGGCTTAGAGAGTCGAGCAGCAGGGAAGTTAGATGAATCGTTTTTATTTCACACCTGGTGTGGGTCCTCTGAACCCTCCACCTGAGAGTGGAGTGGGTCCTGGAGCGTCACTTGGGGGGAGAAGGAAGCCAGAGCAATGCAGTCCTGTCTTCCCTACAGTGAAAAGTGCACCCCGACCTCTCGCCCACAGCTCTCCTGGTTAGCTACCCTGGGGCGTCACCGGGAGGAGTAGAGGTCACTTGGGCCATGACTTCTCTTCCCATTGTAAGTTCTATTACTTTTTGTTTCCCAAATAATATACTTACATTTAATGGCAAGAATTGAGCTGTTACAGATAAAACTAGGTTCTCCCATCTAAGTCTCCCCCCAGAAGTGAGCCTTCCCAGGTTGTTGTACATTCTTCTAGACGTCTCACTTGTGCACCTAGAGCTGCACATGTACTTAGAGAAATAGACAGGGTTGTTCTGTAACCTAACATGCTGTTGCCCTTTAATTTTAATTTTAATTTTTTTTAAATTAAATCTTTATTCAGATTATTACAGTTGTTCCTCCCCCCGGCGCCCCCATAGGTCTGTTGCCCTTTTAAAACATCTACTTGAACTGTAAAATACATACATAAGTGTAATTGTCATAGGCGACAGTTTCGTGCATTTTTCACAAACGGGAACACATCCATGTAGTGAGTATCCAGGTCAAGAATCAGAAATTTTACCAGCCCCGCCCCCCCCCCCAAGCCCTCTGCTTGTATTCCACTCTCCACCCCTCACCCCTAAGGGTAACTACTGTTCTAACAGCATAAGTTAGTTTTACCTGTTTTGTTCTTTGTATGGATGGAATCGTGCGGAATGAACTGTTTTGTGTTCATCTTTTGCTTATCATGTTGGTGACTTGCATCTGTGTTGTTGCACATCATGGCTTTTTAAACTCAGAGATACGTTTTGGCAATCGTTCTAGTACATACGGATCTACCTCGGTCTTTCTAAGACTTGGTATGAAATTTCAAAGTTTGGCTGTACAGACTCCATTTTATCTTGTCTCTCACTGATGGACTTTCTGATTGTGTACAATTTATGCAGATGGTTCCTCGAGGGTAGAGGACAAGAGGAAGAATTTCTGGGTGGTAGGACATGCATATTTAAATCGTAATAAGTGCTGAGAAATGGCTCTATGGTGTTTTTTTTCCTGAGGCTACCCAGGTGGTGGCAGTGGGGTGAGGTGGCAGGTGGCCCTCTGCAGTCAGTAACCTGTGAGCACCCTCCCCTGCAGAAGCTAGATCACAGAGGTAGGAAATAGCCCGCTCTGTGGAGGGTGCCTGGACAGGGGGGTGTTCCCTTCCACTGGCTAGCGTCTGCGGAGAGCCAGGGGGGCTGGCCCTGTGTCAGAGTCTCCCGGTGGCTGTGCTGACAGAGGCTGGGGAACGAGGGGTTGGGAGGTGGGGGGCAGTGGACTAGCAGGATCTGGGGTTGCTTGTGTGGTGCCTGTGTGTGCTCACTCGCTGGGCTCCGTGCTGCTTCCACCCTCCAGAGAGACGGAGCCGCTTGCTAAAGGTTGCTGAGGAGTTGAGGGTCATAGGGCATTAGTGGTGACCCCAGTAAGATCCGGAGTTCACAGGTGGTGATCACCGTGGAAGTGGGTGTGGGAGAAACCTGGAGGAGAATTAGTTTAGTCTCGCGAGAAGTTGCTCATGAAAGAAGGGGCCCTGGCGAGCTCTATTTCCTGGCGGAGAGTGTCTGCCTTGTTCCCTTGCACAGCCTTCTGCCACGGTTTGACGGAAGAAGTAGGGAAGAGGATTTGAGATGACTTGCTCTTCAAGGCGCTTGCTTTCCTAGCCTCCTCCTTCAGCGTGCTGTCTGCTGTTTCACCAGTTGTACTGCGATTCCTGTGTGAGCCCGCTGGTCAGGCCCCGCTTGTGGGTGTAGGTGACACGATGTGAGGTACTGTTTCTAAGACAGGTGATGTGGCGGTCAGCTTTCCCACGCTGTCCAGGTGGTGTGCACTGTCTGTGTGTCAGTCTGCTAGGACGGCCGAAACAGAATATTTATTTTCTCTCAGTCCTGGAGGCTGGACGCCCAAAACCAAGGTGCTGGCAGGGTTGGTTTCCGATGAGGCCTTTCTCCTTGGCGTGCAGGTAGCGGCCGTCGTGTTGTCTTCTCACATGGCCTCTTCTCTGTCTGCATACACTCCTGGTGCCCCTTCCGCTTATAAGGGCACCTGTTCTGTTGTATTACAGCCCCACTCTTGTGACCTTATTTGACTTAATTGATTCCTTAAAGGCCTATCTCCTAATATGTTATATTGGAGGTTAGGGATTTAACCTATGAGTTTTGAGGGCCGGGGGTGTACATAACAGTCTGAAATAGTAAAGTTGGTTGAAAGTGAATTCTGTTTTCTTCTTGAGTTGCAGTTTGGAATGGGAATTGCATTTTTCATGGCTCTGCCCTGGGGTCTGTGTTCTTAACACTTTCCATGGGCAGTCTTATCTGTACTGGTGATCTCAGTGTCCACGTGTGTGTAGATCTATCTCTCTGGGTATAATGTGATCCTGAAGATATGTCTGAAAGCTGGGTAAAGGCAAACATGGAGACTTCCTCTCTGACAGTCAGAAACAGCTTTCTGAAGGCATCTGGAAAAGCTGGTCAGATTCAGGAGACGTCTCTGGTTGAAAGCATTGTAGAGCTAAGAAGCTAGCCAAGACCTAGCAGGCCAGGGTCTGTGGGAAGAGAAGCCCGGGGTGGTGTCTTTGACATTTGAGTCTGTATTCAGTCCTTCCTATGGGCAACTGAGAGGCTGAGAATTGCATTTGATAGCCTTATGGGGCTAAGAAGACAGGAATTAGAGTTATAAACAGAGAGTGGGTATAGTGCTCACTATACCTTCTTCTGGGTTCAGACTGCAAAGACATAGGGGTGAGGGGGAGCCAAAAGAAGACAAACTCTGAAGTTAGATTAAGATGTTATAGAATTTAGGTGCCCTTAGCTGCTTTCCAGAAGCACATATAGCATCATTCAAGGAATATAACATCATTCTAGGCTTCAGATTATCTCTACAAACAATTTTACATATATAATAACTAGCTGGTCATCCTATATAATAAAACCCTAATATGCAAATTGACCAAATGACAGAACGACCGGTCTCTATGACATGCACTGACCACCAGGGGCAGACACTCAATGCAGGAGCTGCCCCCTGGTGGTCACTGTGCTCCCACAGGGGGAGTGCCACTCAGCCAGAAGCCAGGTTCACAGCTGGTGAGAGCAGTGGAAGTGGTGGGAGCCTCTCCTGCCTCTGCTGCAGGCAGGCGGTAAGGAGCGAGGGGTCCAGGACTGCGAGAGGGATGTCTGACTGCCAGCTTATCCCCGACTGTGAGAGGGTGCAGGCTGTGCTGAGGGACACCTTCTCCCCCCCGCCCCCCCCCACACACACAAATGTTGTGCACCGGGCCTCTAGTTTTAAATAAATAGTCAGCAGGCACTTTGCAGTTGAAGCAGACCTGGATGAGCTCCCAATGGAGTTAACATGCACATCTTTACTCGGGTTGTGGGGAAGATGGTGACGATGCCACTGTGTGGATTGAAGTAGTGGAGTCAGGAACACAGGCATTGGGTGGCTCCTCCGGGCACCAGCAAACTGCAGGGCTGCCTTCCGACGGGGCAGGGCAGGGAGCCTAAGGCAGGAGCACCCGGGAAGGCAGCCTGGCCACTGTCTGTGGGGGGTTGGCTGCCTGTCCTGTCTGGGCAGACCTGGAGCTGGACAGCGAGGAGACCATGGGCTGCCTGAGTCCTTGCTTGGCCACCTCTCAGGCATGGTGGCTTCTGGGAGGGTGCACCTTGGCTGGTGGATGTGGTGCTGGGTCCATCCTTTCTCACCTGCGTGGGTGGGGCTGGAACCCTGCTCTCTGGGGGGCCTCCAGGAGCCAAGGGTAGAGTGCAGCGGCCCATGGGCGGCCGGGGTCCACAGTTCCTTGGGGAGGGTCGGCTGGGTGGACACACCCCAAGCCTGGAGCTCATAGGACCCCAGGGGGCACATGACCATTTCAGCTTCAAACCTTCCCACCAAGGCTCTGTCTTGATGGCCCCTCCCTTCTCCATCTGTCCTTCATTCTTCCCTGTCCCCAGTGCCCTTTGAGTCCTTCACAGCGGGATCCTGGTAGGATTTCTCCCGTTTCTCCCCTGCGCATAGTGGGTGCAGCCAAGGCCTCCTGGACTGGGGACACAGACCTCCCAGCGCTTTCCCTCGCCTGTCAGAGCTGGTCCACTGAGGTCTTGCTCCCCTACAGGCTGTTCAGAGTGGGAGCTGCGTGTGTTCTGGTGGTTTGTTTGCTTGTGTTTTTTGGAGGTGCTGTGTGTCCGGGAGTGGCGAGTCCCCATCTGCCTGGACTAGGGCTTGGTGAGCGTGGGGGCTTCTTTCACCAGCGTGTAGGCCCCTGGGAACATAGGGACTACCTGTTGGGGACAATGCCACTTGTATACCTGGTTCCTTTGGAGGCCAGCGGTTGGGTTGGCTGTAGCTCAGGGATACAGTGAGCCCCTTCCTTGCCCGGGTGCGTGGGGAGCATGTGCCTCCCGTCAGGGCCAGCAAGTATAAGGGGGCACCACAGGCACCCCTGTCCCGGGAGCACAGCTTCCTCTCCTGCAGGATGGGTGGGTGAGCTGGAGGTCGGGGAGCCTCCTGTGCATGGGTGCCCTGGCTCCGTGAGTGGGGGCTGTGTCTATTAAAAGCAGAGGCGGCCTTGTGGTTGGAGTGTTGCCAGAGGCTATAAATAGCTGTGTGTGTGCAGAAGCAGAGCTTGCCAGGGAGGAGGGAGGCAGGGGGAGGCCCCTGGGTCTCCAGCTGGCAGCAGAGCCTGGGCGTGGTGTGGGCGGGGCCTGGGTCTGCCTTCAGGTCCCCCTTGGGCTCTGAATGCCAAGCTCTTGCAGGTGTGGGTGTGCACACTTCCCGCTTGGTGGGCTGGGGGCCCTGAGGTGGGGGGGGTGGGGCCTAATGTTGTGAGGGGTTTTCCTGGGCAGCAGGGGCGGGTATGGCTCTAATATGCCAGCTAACACGCCCGTGCCGGGCATTGTCCTGACCACTCTGAAAGTGCACGAACTCATCTCTTGGGGCCGAGCTAGAAGTATGTGCCGTTAGCTCTCCCTTTTCACGAGCAGGAGCTGGGTGGTTTGGTACTTGTCCCGGGTCACACAGCTCAGAAGCATCAGAGCCAGGATGTGACCGAAGACTGACAGCGCATGGTTGCATTTTTTGGCCACGTGTAGGCGGGTCTGGTCAGAGGGGGGTTTGGTGGCATCCCACATCTGTGTGTCCTCCCCCTGGGGCTTGAGATTTGGGGTTCCCAGCCCCGTGCGCTTGGGTCCTGCCCACGGTAGTGGCCATGGGGGGTTCCCGCCCGATCCGGGGCCTGGGAGAGGGGCTGGGCCACTCCTGGTATCTGTGGGCCTCCCTGGTTCTGGCTCCTAGCCTTGCTCAGGGGGCTTGTTGCTTGTTGTCAGAGTGGAGATGGAAACTCCCCAGAGGACTCGAGAGTTTGGGCAGCAGGCCACCCCTTCTGTTATCCCCTCCCTTTGAAACCCTGCCCTAGCCAGGAACTAACTATGTCTTTCTGTCCATTCCTTGGTCCTTCTATCCGCCCATCCCTCGTGTCCAGAACTGGTCCTAGCACTCAAGACAGCCAAGGCTTCTGCCTACATCAACTTTGCAGTCTCACGGGGGAAGCCTGACATTTAAAAAGCAGTTGTCGAGCACATTCGTAATATTCTACTTATATGAGCCTTCATGATGTGACTTCCTCCTGGGGATTAGCTTTGGTCACATCATTTGTGCTCTCTTTGAGTGTCTGAAATACTCCTTCAAACAACAGCAGTCCAGGGTGATAAGCTGGGTTTTGGAGGAAGCATGAAGGCATGTGGTGGCAGCAGAGTTGACCTGGTCTCCAGGGAGAGGGAAGAACTGAAATGTAAAGGGCAGAGTGGGGGCATCTTGCAGCCAGAGGTGGTCGCTTGCACTAACTCAGCCCAGGAGCCCAGAAGGTCCAGGCCTGGTCGTGTGGTGACTGCGGTGAGGAGCAGGTGGGCAGTGCCCAGCTTCCCTGTCTGCTCACGAGTCTCAGTCCCTGGGGACCCCTACGGAATTGCTGCTGGGAGTGCAGTGGGCCCCCAGGCTGGGGGAGGAGGCCCCGTGCCCTCTGGACTTGGGGGGGCTTTGCATAGCCCGGCCCCCAGATGCTGTAACTGGTGGGTAAGGGTCTGTGTGCATCGTGGGAGCCAAACTGGGTCCTGGTCCTGGTGTGCTCCCTCAGCCTGTGGTCCGCCGCCCACCCTGCTCCCTCAGGTTCTCCCCTCAGACCTCAGGTCCCTTCAGCTGGACGCAGGGCCTGGCTGGGCGGGGGGGGGGG